TGAGCCAGATGATGGTCCACATCTGTCTTAAATTCTATCCCACAGCCAGGCATGGTGGCTCACACCTGTAATCTGTAATCCCAGCACTTTGGGAGGCAGAGATCAGGAGTTCGAGACCAGCCTGAGCAACATGCTAAAATCCCATTTCTACTAAAAATGCAAAAATTAGCCAGGCCTGGTGGCGGGTGCCTGTAATCTCAGCTACTTGGGAGGCCAAGGCAGGAGAATCGCTTGAACCCAGGAGGCAGACGTTGCAGTGAGCTGAGATTGCACCACTGCACTCCAGCCGGGCCATGAGCAAAACTCCGTCTCAAAAACAAACAAAAAACAACATCAAAAAAATTCTGTCCTGCATGCTTTCTACTTGCAAATATCCTCCAACAGACAAACAAAAAAACCTCATGAGGACTGATTCCAGGAAGACAGGAAAGCAGCTGACCCCAAGCCTCTGCCTTGCCGTTCCCACCTCTCTCTTGTCCCCAACACCATTCCTGTTCTGTGGAGCTTTCTGCCCTCCTTTCAGCCTTCACTTGGATTTATGATCTCTTTTGGGAACTGGTCAGACACTAGCTGAAAAAGCAGTGACAAAATAGACAAGGTTTTTCATTTCATAAAGTTTATTTTTAAATTATATGTGGTAGAAAGGTGAGTCTATTATGATAGAAAATAAATACATAATCAATAGAGATAAATGCTGTGAAGAAAATAAAACAGAATAACATTATTCAGAAAGACGATGGGTGAGAGACCACTTTAGACCAGGTGGCCAGGGAAGAAGACCTTTGAGACTATAACACTTTAGTTAAGACCTGAAGGATGAGAGCCAGCCACTGGAATCATGAATGAAAAGAAAGCTCCAGACAGAAGGAAAGAAGAGCAAAAAGGTGCCAAATTAAACATCTTTAGGAATAAGTAAGGCATGTTTAAAGAACTGAAAGAAGGGGCCAAATGCAGTGGCTCATACCTGTAATCCCAACACTTAGGGAGGCCAAGGTGGGCGAATCACCTGAAGTCAGGAGTTTGAGACCACCCTGGCCAACATGTTGAAACCCCGTCTTTACTAAAAATACAAAAATTAGCTGGGTGTGGTAGTGTGCGCTTGTAAGCCCAGCTACTCGGGAAGCTGAGGCACCAGAATCACTTGCACCTGGGAGGTAGAGGTTGCAGTGAGTCTAGATTGTGACGCTGCACTCCAGCCTGGGTGACAGAGCAAGACTTTGTCTCAATAACAACAACAACAACAACAACAAAAACCCTGAAAAACTGAAAGAAGGCCACTGTGGCTGCAGGGTCACCAGTGGCTTAGCATAATGTCACCACAGGGCTATGGCAAAAGATGAAGCAGAAAAGAAAAGGAGAGATAGGTAGAAAAGGAATCATGATGCAAATGGAAAGCCATTAGACGGGGTTGATAAGATTTATTTGGATTTTTTTTTCTTTTTTTTTGGAGACAGAACTTTGCTCTGTCACCAGGCTGGAATGCAGTGGTACAGTCTCAGCTCACTGCAACCTCCACCTCCCGGGTTCAAGCAATTCTCCTGCCTCAGCCTCCCAAGTAGCTGGGATTACAGGTGCGTGCCACCACGCCCAGCTAATTTTTATGTCTTTAGTAGAGACAGGGTTTCACCATGTTGGGGTTTCACCATGTTGGCTAGGATGGTCTTGATCTCTTGACCTCCCGATCCACCTGCCTTGGCCTCCCAAAGTGCCGGGATTACAGGCATGAGCCACCGCGCCAGGCCTGATTTATTTGAATTTCTAAGATTACTCTGGCTATGGTGCAGAGAATGGCTTATCAGAAGGTAAGAGTGGAACAGGCAGACAAGTGGGGAAACTAATGTGCTAGCACTGGCAAGATGGTGGTGGTATGGACCTTGATGACACTTAGTTCAGAGAAGACAAGTTGTAAATTTTTGAAAAAATGTTACCCAATCAAGTAGAACCAAAACCAATGAAAAACTAAACCATAAATAGAACTGACATATATTTACATATCACACAAATTTTTTTACCCTAAAATAACTAGGATATTGACCCCAGACTCCTTGGAAGGCAGCGCTAACAAGAACATGTGCTCTCAAGCCCATCCCTAAAATTCCCTTTGTGGTCCTTCATTAATTCCCCCTAACTTGAGGCATGGGGCTGAGGCAGAGTCCTAGTCACTGCTACCCTCTAAGGGAGAAATAGTGAGCAGCCTAAAACCCCAACCCTCTATAAGATGGCAGTCATAGCTCTTGGTGCACATAAACCGCGCAATAAACAGTACAGACACAGATGTTTTTCCACCTTCCCCTGTATTAGGATAGCACTAGTTTTCCATAAGAACCATACCGCAAATGTCTTCAGAATTATTTCAACTATTACTCTAAAATAAGTCTAGAAAAAACTAGTTTTTTTTTTTCTCTCTGACCCACAGGGACATATCTATCACTTATAGAATCTCAGTACTGGCTTCTACGAAAACAAATTTAACATTTTTTTTTTTTTTTAGCGTGATGGTTAGGTGGCAGAAACAGTGATGTGGTGTTTAAAACTCTTCTTTTATGAACTTTGACAGCTTAGATGAGACCCTATAACTTATTAGTTGCGAGTGAAGGCTCTGGCATCAGACAGCCTGGGTTCACGTCCTGGTTTCTCATTTACCGTGTAGCTTAGAGAGAGTTTATTAACTTCAGTAAGTTACAATGTCATCTGTAAAACAGGAGTTCGAGAAGCCCCAAAGAATCTTTAATGGGTGAAGTATGGTAAGAACTGTTTGTGAATGAGAAGGCTTCTAAATCTGGTCTATTCCCAGCCTCTAATTTCTCCATTATAACTACCCCTTCATATTCCCCCACTAAAAATACATGTATCAACACATACTCTGTTGTGTACACACACACGTACACACACACACTTTTAGTTAGTAAGAGCCTGCATTCTTGGAAGAAAGTGGTATTTAACTGCTGTGACCACATGTCACTTACTTAAAATAAACCATTGTAATTTAGCACAGATTTGAAAACTCCTGGAAAGAAGGGGTAACTGCATCCCTGATTCTGTATCCAAACTTCCTTACCCCACCAGCTCAAAAACTTTCAGTGGCTCCCCTTTTTCTCCATGAAAAAAAAAAAAGATCCACTCCCTTTTCCCAGGAGTTTGTGGCCCCCCATAGCCAGATTAATTTATATTCCACTACCTAAGAGTAGTGAGCCTTGGAGTCCAATGGACAACCTTCGACCCTACCAAGGGTTCCCTAAACAATATGGGGAGTGGAAGGCCTGGTGAGGAAAGGTTCAGACACTCAACACCGAGAATGAATGAGCTGGGTTTGAGACAAGTGGATAAGGTTTTTTAAACACTGGCCCCTGTAACCGGCCACTGGGCAGTATTTACGGAATGGACACCAGGGGGTAGCAAAATCTCACTCTCCTAGCTCTGGAGAGTGTCGGTGACTCGAGGGTCCCATAACCCAGTGTTAGAAAGAGCTCCAACTCCACAGCTCTACCTGTGCGGGCAAGATGGTTACTGGGGCTTGTTGCCATAGGTTCTTTTTTGACGCTATGGAGCAGAGGCCTCTTCTTGCCTCTAAGAAGGATGAACATTTGCTCTGTCCTTTTCCAGGCTCAGCGGAGCGGAGAAAAAGGTGGAGGTTAGCGTCCACAGGAGGTGAGAGAAGAGCAAGCCACCTTGGCGGCTCCCCCGCCTCCCCTCCCGCTGTTCCAACAACTGCCCAGAGGCTCCGGCCTCCGAGGAACTGCAGGCGAGGCCGGACGTTTTCTCACCATCGCCCTCCAGCTGCAGGGGCACAGGCGTTCACGCCCCTCCGGGGACTATTCGGCTTTCTGATCCCCTCTCCTCTCCTTTCCGTCCACCCTTTAGAAGGGCTCACGGAGCTGCGGGGCTTCCCAGTGCCTGCTCAGAGGCCAGGCAGGGCATCTCCCCGCCGTGCCCGTGCCTCTCCCCGGGCTCCTGAGAGACCTCCATCCGGCCTTCCTTTCCCATTCAGACACGGTCGGGGGACGCTTGGGGTTTGATGAGGGAGTGAGGCTAGAACTTTCGTAACTAGCCCACCCCGCTTTGTCTCCTGCGCCAAATACCCATCTCCACGGCCACGAGCCCTAGCGGCCCTGCAGGACGCTATAATCACCCCAACAGAAGGAAGGGGCTGGCATCCAGTACCGAATTCTCAAACTGGAGGCCTGGTGCCTTCCGTCTTCTAGCCGAATAGACAGATAGGGATGCGGAAGGGAAGGGCCACGGAGGAGAGAACTCAGAAAATGTCCGGCGAAATGCACGCCCTCCATGAGCATCCCGATCCGGAAACCCTGCCCCCTCGGCCACGATGTCCGCCCCCTATCCCAAGCCTTCGCTGCTCCCTGACTCCCGCACACTCCCGCCTTCCCCAGGCAACACAGAGGAGCCCATTGTCAGCCCAGAGGCTCCAGGCCCGAGGAGATGGAGGGAAAGGAGGAGGGCGGTCAAGCCCCAGGGGGATTGGGGAATCCCCTGATTCCCGGCCTTCCGCTCTCTGCTAGGCAGGCAGGGGCCTGAAGGTCTCATTTGAGCCCCGGGTCCTGCCCAAGTCTAGAAACCGATGAGAGAAGAGGGTCCCGGGCGAGTTAGAGCGGGGAGGCTTTCCAGCCGCAGGAAGACCCCAGTTCTGGGAAGGGGCGGCACAAGGGAATTCACGCACGCCCCAGCCTTTGGAGCATCCCTTGCCGAGGCTAAACTGATCCCGCGGGGAGCGAGGCGGTGGCGGGAAAAGAGGGGCATCCTCGGCTGGGCGGGCCTCCGAGGGTCAGGGTCGGGGTTACCCGCTGGAGGGCGGGGCGGAGAAGAAAGAAGGTTGCCGGTGAACGGGACGGATAGGCTGGGGACGCCCGGGGAGCGGCAGAGAGTCTCGACGCGGGAGATAGAGTCCCGACAAGGGGTCCCGCGCGGAGGCGGGGGCGGGCGCCGAAGGGCGGGGCGGGGAGGGGCGGCCGTCTCGGCCCTCCCTGGCGGGGCCCCGCGGCCTGGAAGCCGGAGCGGGCCGAGCCGCCACCGCGGCCGGAGCTGTCCCTTAGCCAGAGCCGGCGAGACACGAGCGGCGGGAGGGAGGCGGTGGCGCGCCCGGCCCCGCCCGCCCGACCAAGCGTCGGACGCGGCCCGGCGCCGAGCCATGGTGAGTCCAGCGTCGCAGCCCCCTGGGTCCCCTCGGCCTTCGCGCAGCCCGCTCCGGGCCCCCAGTCCCCAGCCTGGTGCCTCCCGATCCTGCCTCGGACTGTTCAGCGCTCCGGGGACTCTCCTCCCTCCCTTCCCCCCTTCTTCGATTTGTCTGTTCGTCTGCCCGACTGTTTAGCTCTGTCCCCACCGAGTATTGCCCTCACCCTTTCTTCCTCCTCTCCTCCGCCTCCTTCCCCATCCTCCCTTGGGTCTCTCCCCTAATCCACACACCTCCCCGCTCCCCGCCCTCCTCTGTCCTGACCTGTGCCTTTCTTTCCTGGAGCTTCCCTCCCCCTCCTGGTCCCAGCTCCTTACCCGCGGGAGACCCCTGCGGGTTGGTCCTGCAGCGTCCCTGGAAGAGGCCCGGCCCCTCGGGTCATGAGAACTGACCTGCATGGAACCACCATTTTCCATCCCTGTCCCCACCCCGGTGAGGCAGGCCCACCCATCCGGCCCTGGGGGACCGGCCACAGCTGTGGCTGGGACGGGGCCAGGGGCATGGCCAAAGAGGGAAATTCCCGCAGAGAAAAAGGGCTGCCTCAGGGTAGTTGGGGGTGCTTGGGGGGAGCTCACAGAACCAGGGGGCGTGACACTGCCAGAGCCGACCGGAGTTTGTGGGGGAGGGAAGTGCCCCAGAGCTCTTGCTGCAGGGAACTGAAGGGCTGCCTCAGGGCACTCCTGCGGCAGAGAGTGGGGAACATGAGCCGGAGCGCCCTGCAGGGAGTAGGGGACCCTGGCCGAAGCAACTTGGGGCGCTGGAAGCTGGAGGGTATCGCTAAGAAGAAGCCCACACCAATAGGAGTGAACACTGCCCTGGGAACTTTCACTGCAGAGTACTCTGAAGCATCGCTGCAAGAGTGGGCACTGCCAGAGAGAGCGCCCACTGCAAAGAGGGCGGGGGCATGGCCAAGGGGGCGCTCCCTGCAGAGTGAAGGAGGGGGAGAGGCCTTGCCGGGGGGAGCTCACCGCAGGGAGTGGAGGAGGGGCAGGGGCACTACTGGGGCCGCCCCTCTACGGAGGGAAGGGCACCCTCTGGCAGGGAGGCTGGAGGAAAAAGAAAGAGGAACTGGGCCAGGGAGAGCTGACTCAGTCTCTCTGGTCTCCTCTCTGGTCCCCGCCGGCAGGAGGCTGGGTCTCCGTGCTCCCGCCCGCCGCCTCCCTCCCCAGACCCCTCCTCCCCTCCTGCCGCTGCTGTTTCCTGTGGCTGAGACTCTCGCTCAGCCATGAGCTCACCGCCCCTAATGGGTTGCAGCTGCCTAGCTGCTCAAGCCCTAGCTCCGCACTCCCGGCCTTGGAGCAGACGGCCCCACTCTGCCTCACCCCCGGCCATCTCCACCTTCCCCCCACCCACGCGCACTGCGTCCGCCTGGTCCCGGAACACTGGGGGTCTGTCTGCTCGCCCACACACCTTGGGGCCGGGTCTGCGCGCTGACGCGCTGAATGTCCCGGTCTCTGGAGTGGTTGCCCTAACTTCCCAGACGGTCGAGACAAACTGGATGGAGGAGCTCAGAGAAAAATAAGCTATTTTGTTTTATGGCAAAGGCAAGACATGGGGGTAGGGCAGGTAGAGACCAAGGTAAAGGCTGCATTGAGTCTCCCCTTCCCCATTTACTGCAAAAAAAAAAGAAAAAAAAATTCCAGTAAAAGGAACTTCAAAGACTGTCTTGAAAGAGAAGTTTGCAAAGGAATAGCCCAAGGGGTGGTTGTTTAGGTTGTGGGATGGAGGAAGATGTCTCATTGACTCACTTAGGGAGGGGAGTCTGGATGAAGCAGGGCTGAGTCTTTTTGAGACTCCTAGTGGAGGTTGGCAGAGAGAGGTCCCACTGGAATCAGAAAAGACCAGCTCTAATGCATACCATCAAGGCCTCCTCCTCCCTTCCCACAAGTTCCTTTTGTGACTTTTTTCTCTTTCAACTGCCCCCACCCGGTTCTTTGTAACCCAATCCCACATGCTCTAGGATTGGGTGATTGCTTCAGAGCCACTGTGGGAGAGGGAAGAGGGATGCTAGAAAGACCCAAGACAGTCACAGACAGTCTTTCCATCCTCCTCTTTTCACCAAACGACCATCTCTCTTTCACCAAATGATCATCTCTAGGACATAATTGTGGGTGATGCACCTCCACCTGAGATGGGGAGCTCTGGATGGTGTGTCTTATGAGAAGGGATTTGCAGGATGGCTCACCCCCTCAAGTTCTCAGCCATAAGCTCAGTCCCCTGATAGCCCAAAAGCCTGTCTTTTCTCTCCTAGGAAAGGTCTATGCAGTCACCCCAACTCACGAGCACCCGGAACAGCCCTGATTGGGGGCATTCACAACAAATTCTCTCTGGATCTCCAAAGCCAAGGTCTCAGAACTTGAGTGTTGAGTGCCCTGCCATGCTTGTGCACTCCGGCCCAGCCCCACTCCCATTCTGGGCTCATCAGCCAGCATTTCCTGAGTGCCCACTTTTTGCACACATTGTACAATGGGGGCCTTGGAGAACACAGCCACCCCCAGACCAGTGCAGCTCCCAAGGAGCCGCGATTGGGTGATCTCTAGGGATCTGTAGCCTGGTCCTATCTCTACAGGAGCCTGAGCCAGTGGAGGACTGTGTGCAGAGCACTCTCGCCGCCCTGTATCCACCCTTTGAGGCAACAGCCCCTACCCTGTTGGGCCAGGTGTTCCAGGTGGTGGAGAGGACTTATCGGGAGGACGCACTGAGGTACACGCTGGACTTCCTGGTACCAGCCAAGCACCTGCTTGCCAAGGTCCAGCAGGAAGCCTGTGTGAGTGGCCGTGCATCACTATTCTGCCTTCCCCAAGATCCACTGCCACACTCTACAGACTAGCCAGGCTGACTAATTCCCCCACTAACCTGGAGATACAGCCTCCCCTAATACTGATCTCTCCAAAGTCACTTAAGCCTCGTTCTCTGACCTCCCACAAACTTTGACCTTCACAGGCACTGACCATTCAGACACTAACACACACACGCACACATTCATCTTCCCCAAATTCATCTTGACCCCTGAGAAACACTGACCCCCAAAGACCCTAACTCTCCAGACCCAATTCCAGACATTTTCACCCCCTCATATGAATTTCTCAAGATACTAACTCCCCCGTACATGAGTCAACAGAGATCCTTCATTTCTACAGATATAAAGACTTCTAAGAGTCTTTAACTTCTCCAAGACAATGGCATCTGCTGACCACGTCTTGGTAACGATTCAGTTCTTACCCTCCCACACATGGAACTAGCTTCCTAGAGAAGCTTCCTACCACCAGGAGACCGATCGGTCCCAATCCCTTCCTCTCTGCCACCTGAATACCCAAATCTCCCCTCCTGCTCTCCTGAGAGTGTAATCTTCCAGGCATAGGGCTGGTCCTGCCTAGGGTGGGCCCATTCTAACCGCCCTCTTCTGCTGGCTTCTTCAGCAGAGGCCTGAGTGCAGCCTCCCATCTCTCTCCCCAGGCCCAGTACAGTGGATTCCTCTTCTTCCATGAGGGGTGGCCGCTCTGCCTGCATGAACAGGTGGTGGTGCAGCTAGCAGCCCTACCCTGGCAACTGCTGCGCCCAGGAGACTTCTATCTGCAAGTGGTGCCCTCAGCTGCCCAGGCACCACGACTAGCACTCAAGTGTCTGGCCCCTGGGGGTGGGCGGGTGCAGGAGATTCCTGTGCCCAATGAGGCCTGTGCCTACCTATTCACACCTGAGTGGCTACAAGGCATCAACAAGGACCGGCCAACAGGTCGCCTCAGTACCTGCCTACTGTCTGCACCCTCAGGGATTCAGCGGCTGCCCTGGGCTGAGCTCATCTGCCCACGATTTGTGCACAAAGAGGGCCTCATGGTCGGACATCAGCCAAGTACGCTGCCCCCAGAACTGCCCTCTGGACCTCCAGGGCTTCCCAGCCCTCCACTTCCTGAGGAGGCGCTGGGTACCCGGAGTCCTGGGGATGGGCACAATGCCCCTGTGGAAGGACCTGAGGGCGAGTACGTGGAGCTGTTGGAGGTGACGCTGCCTGTGAGGGGGAGCCCAGCAGATGCTGAAGGCTCCCCGGGCCCCTCCAGAGTACGGACAGTACCCACTCGCAAGGGTGCTGGAGGGAAGGGCCGCCACCGGAGACACCGGGCGTGGGTGCACCAGAAGGGCCTGGGACCTCGGGACCAGGATGGAGCACGCCCACCCGGCGAGGGGAGCAGCACTGGAGCCTCCCCTGAGTCTCCCCCAGGAGCTGAGGCTGTCCCAGAGGCAGTAGTCTTAGAGGTGTCTGAGCCCCCAGCAGAGGCCGTGGGAGAAGCCTCTGAATCTTGCCCCCTGAGGCCAGGGGAGCTTAGAGGAGGAGGAGGAGGCCAGGGAGCTGAAGGACCACCTGGTACCCCTCGGAGAACAGGCAAAGGAAACAGAAGAAAGAAGCGAGCTGCAGGCAGAGGGGCTCTTAGCCGAGGAGGGGACAGTGCCCCACTGAGCCCTGGGGATAAGGAAGAGGCCAGCCACCAAGAAGCCCTTGGCAATCTGCCCTCACCAAGTGATCACAAGCTTCCAGAATGCAGCCTGGTTAAGGAGGAATATGAAGACTCAGGGAAGCCAGACTCTGAGCCCAAAGAGTTCAAAACAGCAGGCGAGAAAGAGCCTCAGCCCTCTGAAGCCTGTGGGCCTACAGAAGAGGATGCCAGAGAGAGAGAGCAGGAGGGGCCAGGCCTGGTGTGTATGGCAGGTGAGATGACACTGAGTGAGGTTCATGGGGAAAGGGCCAAAGCAGGTCGGGCCTATGGGAGGGGGCAGGATGAGGAGCAGGGTTATGCTGGGAGCAGAACAACCAGAACCATCTTAACTTCAGTCCCATTTTTCTGTCTGTGTCTGTGCAGGACACGCAGGCCCAGAAGGCCTCCTGTCTGACACTCCGACACCTCTGCTGGAGACTGTGCAGGAAGGAAAAGCGGACAGCATTCCAGAAGAGGCCCTTCCAGTCTCCATCTCTGATGACCCTGATGTGGCTTGGGACTTGATGGCATCTGGATTCTTCGTCCTGACAGGTCAGTGGGCATCAGTGGGTGAAGGGAAAAAGGACTGGGAAAGAGAAGCAATTGGGTGGGCTTGGGGACTGGGGGAGGCAGGGTGGAAGGGAGGTAGGCTTGGACTGCTCCCAGCCAGGACAGCCTGGCCGTTTTGTGTCTTCAGGAGGGGTGGACCAGAGTGGGCGAGCTCTGCTGACCATTACCCCACCGTGCCCTCCTGAGGAGCCCCCACCCTCCCGAGACATGCTGAACACAACTCTTCATTACCTCCACTCACTGCTCAGGTAACCGAGGCCCAGTCCTGGCACCCTGGACACTAACCTCCTGGTTCATGAGGACCCTCACCTCCTTCTTCTCAGGACACTGACCTTCTGACCTCTAAGGACACCTCCTTCTTCAACCTTCAGATTTCAAGTCATTGACCTTTGGCCTTACTGACCCTGACCTCCAGCTTCATATCTTCATTGATCCTCAAAAGCAACACTGTTGACTTTCACTGTCTTCCAACACTACCAAGATCATCAGGACATTGGTTCACTTATTCAACAAATATTGATTGAGCACTGAGTACCTATTAGGCACCATACTACAGGCTGACATTGAATGCATGCCATTCCAGAACAGAATTCTGAACTTTCCAGACCTTAATTCCTTGGCCTAGTAGCCATATGAATATAGACTCCCAAATGCTAGGCCACTTCCTCCTGTACACCCATCCCAGAATTTGGCCCTTTGCCCATTTCTTCCCAAATGTACCAGCAACTAATATCTCCTGAGGACTATTAACTAAATACAGACCCTGTATGTCTGCCTTGCTTTATCTCCTATCCCCCAAAACACACACACAGAAGCCTCTTTGACTCTTCCTGCTCCCACAGGCCTGATCTACAGACACTGGGGCTCTCCGTCCTGCTGGACCTTCGCCAGGCACCTTCACTGCCTCCAGCACTCATTACTGTCTTGAGCCAACTTCAGGTAACCACCCCTTGAACAGGCAGTTCCCCGGATCCTAACTCTTCACTAGTGGCCAGTCCAGGACACCCAATTGCCCAGTTTAGGGTTATTCTTCTCTGCCCTTAGGACTCAGGAGATCCTCCCCTCGTTCAGCGGCTGCTGATTCTCACTCACGATGACCTTCCAAGTGAACTCTGTGGATTTCAGGTTTGAGCCCTTCATTCCTACCTAGTTTCCCATCAGTAGTGGAGAAAGGAGAAGAAGCTGGCTGGAGCCCCAGGCTGGTTTCTGAGTCCTTGGGTGCCCAGGAAGAAACCCCTGCCTTACCCTCTACAGGGTGCTGAGGTGCTGTCAGAGAATGATCTGAAAAGAGTGACCACGCCAGAGGAGCTGCAGTGGGAGTTAGGAGGTCACAGGGACCCCTCTCCCAGTCACTGGGTAGAGATACACCAGGTAAGCTTCCCCTCTAACACCTAGCATCCTGGGAGCCAGGAATGACCCAGCTGAAGACATTCTAGGGCAGATGCCAGGTCCAGGACATACCATGGGGCTGCAAAAAAGTGGTTTCCATTCCATTCAATTCAACAAGCATTTATGGCTCCCAAATCATGAGGAAAACATGTGCACTGTGCCATGGTCTACTGGGGAGATGGGAGGAGTATGTTAAATTATTATTATAATTACTATTTTTAGACAGTCTCGCTCTGTCACCCAGGCTGGAGTGCAGTGGTTCGATCACAGCTTACTGCATCCTCCATCCTCCAGACTCAAGCGATCCTCCCACATCAACCTCTTGAGTAGCTGCGGCTACAGGCATGTGCCGCCACACCCAGCTAATTTTTGGTTTTTTTTGTTTTTTTTTTTTTTGTAGAGATGGGGTTTTGCCATGTTGCCCAGGCTGGTCTCAAACTCCTGGACTCCAGTGATCCACCCGTCTCAGCCTCTCAAAGTGCTAAGATTACAGGCATGAGCTACCGTGCCCAGCCAAATAAATTATTAATATGACATTAAGTAGTACATGATTTTTGGTGGGAGATAAATCATGAAACAAGTAGAGAAGAGTGCAAGATAGTGTCAATGGGTTTCTGGAAAGCACTGAGTCAAAAGGCTGATTCTTGTTCCAAATTACTTTACCTCACTTGCAGAAATAGTGCCTTTTCTGTACCCACCCCTTGCACCAACATCCAGGCCTCGGGATCTTCATCAGCGAAGTGTAACAATCACAGTATAATTGCTAAAGGTCCTTCCAGCACTTATCTCATGTAATTCTATGAATATAAGTGTTGTGAGTATTCAAGAAGAGAGAAATAAACATGATCTGAGCTGAGTATAAAAGAGGGGTCTGTAGATGGTCTCTAAGTTTCGCCTTTAGTGTCAAAGGGGAAATTGACATGAATAGGCAGAGAGAGGGGGTTTGACAGGGTGAAGCCCCACTGAAGACAGAGAGAAAGGAAGGTCACAGTTACCAAGCTGTGCAATGTGCCAGGCCCATGCTAGTTGCTAAACTGGCATCATCTCCTTAAAAATCACAGAAGCCTTTCTTATCCTGACTTTACAGTTGAGGAACTGAAGTTCAGGAAGGTTTCTGGACCTGCCCAACATCATACAATTAGTTAGCAACAAAGTCAGGAACTGAATTCAGCATTGCCTCCATAAAAGTCTCTGGGGCTACCTCACCCCAACCCTAGGGCTTAAGTTCCTTCTTAAACTCTAATCCTCAACTCCATCCCTGCGTGTGGGTTTCAGGAAGTGGTAAGGCTATGCCGCCTGTGCCAAGGTGTGCTGGGCTCGGTACGGCAGGCCATTGAGGAGCTGGAGGGAGCAGCAGAGCCAGAGGAAGAGGTATGAAATGAAATGGGACAGTGGGGGGATGGGATTGGGATGGGGCTGGGGTGGAGACTCTCTGGTGGAACCCCAACTGGCAACTGCTCCCTATCCCCAGGAGACAGTGGGAATGCCCAAGCCCCTGCAGAAGGTGCTGGCAGATCCCCGGCTGACGGCACTGCAGAGGGATGGGGGGGCCATCCTGATGAGGCTGCGCTCCACTCACAGCAGCAAGTACGAGGGATGGGTGTGCGGGGGCAGGTGGAAGTGGGAGGTGGAGACACAGCCGAAGGCTGCCAACAAACCTTAGCTGCCAGACCATTCTTATTGTGCATGTATCTGGGCAAGATACCATGCTTTTACACTTACTGTCTCATAACCCTCACAACATCCTTGCGTGCCATTTACTATTACAAATGAGGATTTGGAGGATCAGAAATGTTAACTGTCTTGGCCAACATCGGTCAGTAAAGAGTCAGGATTCAAACCAAAGCAGTCAGGGTTCAACCCATGCTTTTGATCCATGCTGCTATGCAGCTTCTCATGTTTGCATCCCTCGGAGGGATGGGAGGACAGAATTGAGGGGCTCAACAAAGGAAATGATTCATTCTTTCCTGCTCCTTCCCCAGACTGGAGGGCCAAGGCCCAGCTACACTGTATCAGGAAGTGGACGAGGCCATTCACCAGCTCGTGCGCCTCTCCAACCTGCACGTGCAGCATCAAGAGCAGCGGCAGTGCCTGCGGCGACTCCAGCAGGTGAGCCAGGACTCCTATGTCCCTCTTACTCGGCCTGGGAGTATGGCCTCCAGCACCTTTCCCGTTGGTACTTATAGTTGATGGTGTTCTTCTAGCCTGGCTTGGTTGAATGCCCCTCCCTGTCTCCTCACCTTTGTTGGTCAGTGTGAGATTCAACAAGAGGGTGGGAGCATCGTAGCACCAGTAAAGAAAAGCCAGGTCTCCCCCTCCCCACTGTTTATGCTTGATCGAAGATGCTGAGAGATTGTGAGAGATGCTCAGCTGCCCTAGGGGCTTCTGAAAAGAGCTGATCAACTCTGGAGTGCCTACCTTCTTAGCTGAAAAATAATAAAAGTCTATTGATACCAGTTCATTAGTTACACTGCCACACATGCACCCTTAACTCCTTATGTGATGTCATCCCTCAGACCTGAGGTCGGAAAGGTACCACCTCCCTCCACCTTGGAAGGAGAGAGCATTGAAAGCACCTAAGAGGAACTATAGGCTTCTTTGTGGGGAAGATTCAGGAATAAGGCTGGCTTCTCTGAACCTTGATTCTTCTCTCCTGGGGTTAAGAGCCCCATAGGGATTTGCTCTCCACCACACCATGTAAGGTAGAGGGAGCTTTGAAATCTGATTGTTCCTCCTTAGCCCCGAGCATGGTGAGTGGACACTTTACGGACCTGCAGGTGGGCATCAGAGGAAAGGTCATCTCAGGGCCAGTGCTAAAGCGGGAGCCGAGACTTTCTGTTTCCTAGGATTTCTTCGTATTGGCTTCCTCTAAGCCAATATCCTAGAGATGGGTTGCATCTCCTGTTTGCTTACCTGCTTATTAGCTGTTTCCCCAACTGGTTAAAAACAAGATTTGGAATCTAAAGTGCTCAGCTTGAGTTCTAGTTCTGCCATGTGTAAGATGTTGGACAAGTCATGAAGCTTCTCTGAGTTCCCAAGTCCTCATCTGTAGAATTGGGATAGTAACAATTAACTCACAACATGGTTAGAAAGATCAAATGAATTCAGCAAAGGACTATAAAAGTGGTTATTGTTGGCACTGGCTATTAGGAACAGTCTCAGACTTCTCATCCTCAGGCTGTCCCACCCCCAGCTTCCAGCCTTTCTTCAGAGGAAAATATTATCATCACTTTTTGGTCAAATATCTCAGAACCAGCATGAGAGTTTGTATAGCCCCATAACAGGCAATTAAAGCTGGACACATACATACATACACACACACCCCTTCTGTGCTGTTTCTCCAGGCTTGGTCCCTGCGACCCTTGCCCACCAGTTGCCAAGGCTTAGTGAAAGCCGTCAGTCATCCATATGACCCTCATCCTGCCTTTGGTTCACCCCAGTTTGATGTACTTCACACTCGGGCATAGCTCTGGAACTTTGACCCACCTCCCTCAGTACTTTCCACCAGCCCAGCTTCCCACTCATCTGGCACCTTACTGAAGATTTCTTACTCGGTTTTTCACTTGACCCTTGTGGAAACTATTACCATTCACTGTTGTCATTCCCACATTGCAGATGAGATGCAATAGTTCACTCAAGGTTCTACAGATTGGTGTGGTGGGGCTGATGCTGGATCTCAGCCCTTCCTTGCCTTTCCACTCCATGACCCCCTACTCTGCCACCCCATCTGCCTCAGGTGTTGCAGTGGCTCTCGGGCCCAGGGGAGGAGCAACTGGCAAGCTTTGCAGTGCCCGGGGACACCTTGTCTGCCCTGCAGGAGACAGAGCTGCGATTCCGGGCTTTCAGCGCTGAGGTCCAGGTGAGAAAGGGCAGGAGGGCAGGTGAGAGGAGGCAGGGAGAGACTACCTAGGAGTGAGGACCAGGTCTGAGAGCAGCCTCCCTTCTCCAGGAGCGCCTGGCCCAGGCACGGGAGGCCCTGGCTCTGGAGGAGAATGCCACCTCCCAGAAGGTGCTGGATATCTTTGAACAGCGGCTGGAACAGGTTGAGAGTGGCCTCCATCGGGCCCTGCGGCTACAGCGCTTCTTCCAGCAGGTACATGCAGAGCCTTTTCCTTTTGTTCCCCCCATTTCCATTTCTTTACTTCCTTTCTGCCTGGAGAGGCTAATCAAGTTGTTAAAAGCGGAGGCTGAGGAGCCCATCTCCTTGGTTTTGACTCTTAGCTCTGCCACCTGCTTGCTGAATGACCTGGGACAAAATACTAAACCTGACTGTGCCTCCATAGATCTACCTCACAGGGCTGCTGTGGGGATTACATGAGGCAATATATAAAAGCCGTTAGCCCAGAGCCTGCCACTCATAAACGCCATATGAGTACTGGTTATTCTTTTATATAGGCTCTTCCATCTCCATACCAACTCCAAGTGACATGGTTAGGCAGTGATGCTGGAACAGTGAGAAAACGGGGAGAGTGATGGGCATTGGGAGGCCACAGGCAAGAGGACAAGGGCTGTCGTTGGGCATCCTTTGTGAGCAACACAGGCCCTTACCCTTTCTCTCCCATCTCCAACCCCTTTGATTTTGTAGGCACATGAATGGGTGGATGAGGGCTTTGCTCGACTGGCAGGAGCTGGGCCGGGTCGGGAGGCTGTGCTGGCTGCACTGGCCCTGCGGCGGGCCCCAGAGCCCAGTGCCGGCACCTTCCAGGAGATGCGGGCCCTGGCCCTGGACCTGGGCAACCCAGCAGCCCTGCGAGAATGGGGCCGCTGCCGGGCCCGCTGCCAAGAGCTGGAGAGGAGGATTCAGCAACACCTGGGAGAGGAGGCGAGCCCACGGGGCTACCGACGACGGCGGGCAGACAGTGCCAGCAGTGGAGGGGCCCAGTGGGGCCCCCACAGCCCCTCACCCAGCCTCAGCTCCTTGCTGCTCCCCAGCAGCCCTGGGCCACGGGCAGCCCCATCCCATTGCTCCTTGGCCCCATGTGGAGAGGACTATGAGGAGGAAGGCCCTGAGCTGGCTCCAGAAGCAGAGGGCAGGCCCCCACGGGCTGTGCTGATTCGAGGCCTGGAGGTCACCAGCACTGAGGTGGTAGACAGGACGTGCTCACCGCGGGAACACGTGCTGCTGGGCCGGGCTGGGGGGCCAGACGGACCCTGGGGAGTAGGCACCCCCCGGATGGAGCGCAAGCGGAGCATCAGGTGAGATCCCAGCCCAACTGGTGCCCAAGAGGCAGACCCAACTGCCCAGTAGGAAAAGAAGGTGATATTGTTGGGGGTAGTGGCTCCCTCCCACACCTCTGCCACTCCTGTTGTGCCTGCAGTGCCCAGCAGCGTCTGGTGTCTGAGCTGATTGCCTGTGAACAAGATTACGTGGCCACCTTGAGTGAACCAGTGCCACCCCCTGGGCCTGAGCTGACTCCTGAACTTCGGGGCACTTGGGCTGCTGCCCTGAGTGCCCGGGAAAGGCTTCGCAGCTTCCACCGGACACACTTTCTGCGGGAGCTTCAGGGCTGCGCCACCCACCCCCTACGCATTGGGGCCTGCTTCCTTCGCCATGTGAGTGATCCCCTCAACTTCTTCCAAGTGCTCTCTCTTCTGTGTTCCAGCCTCATCCATCTGTCCCTCTTTCTCAGTACCCACAGCCCTCTCCTCCCATGTATGGTCCATGCCATTGGGGCCCAGCCCTGTTCTGTGGGCACCTCTGCCTCTACTCAGCCTCTGCGTCCCTGCTCTCAAGGGCTGCCTGGACTATGCTCTCTCCACAGGGAGCCCTTCCCCACCTGGCAGGCAGAGTGCTCCCTGGTGACCCATCCCTCATTTGGGCTACAGAGAGGATGGAGGGGGAAGAGAGAGGTTTGTCTGCACAGACCTCGCTGGAGACACCTTATCTGTTCTTTACTGGCACAGGGGGACCAGTTCAGCCTTTATGCACAGTACGTGAAGCACCGACACAAACTGGAGAATGGTCTGGCTGTGCTCAGTCCCTCAAGCAAGGTAACTTTTTCTCCAATCTTCAGAAGAAAAGTAGAGGGGCCAGGAAGACCTAAAAACCCGCCCCAAAAATCCCACAGGGAAAAAAGCTTTCCTGGATGTGCCCAGGAACATCACCTACCAATCATCTCCTAGAATTGCCGAGGGTGGGACAAGCACTGGACTGGTGAGGCCAGGTTCTTATCCAGTCCACCTGAGGGACCAGGCAGGACTCCTGACTCATCTGGGCCTCCATTTCCACATCTGGTAAATGGGGGCGATAGTCACTATAGCCAGCTCACAGGGAGGATCTGAGCAGCAGAAGAGCTCACATCAAAAGACGTACAAGTGACTTTAAAAGTTCAAAGCCAGTGGCCCAGCGTGGTGGCTCACACCTGTAATCCCAGCACTTTGGGAGGCCAAGGCGGGCGGATCATGAGGTCAGGAGATCAAGACCATCCTGGCCACCATAGTGAAACCCCGTCTCTACTAGAAATACAAAAAAAAAAAAAAATTAGCCAGGCGTGGTGGTGAGCACCTGTAGTCCCAGCTACTCAGGAGGCTGAGGCAGGAGAATGGCGTGAACCTGGGAGGCGGGGCTTGCAGTGAGCCGAGATCACACCACTGCACTCCAGCCTGGGTGATAGAGCAAGACGCCATCTCAGGAAAAAAAAAAAAAAAAAAAAAAAAGTTCAAAGCCAGAGAGTACAGGAGATTACTATTTTGATTCTTGTTCCATTTCCCTTCAAGATGCCCCCACCTGCTTTCTTTCCAGGTGGAAGGGTTTCGCCTTACTTTAGGGAGCATCTGGGCTTCATCTATACCCAAAAGCCTAGGGTATCACCCACCTACCCCCCAACCCCTGAGCTTGGCCCCTAGAGGCTCCAGCCCTCCCCTCATCCCTGTCTGTGTCCTCCTCAACCTAGGGCTCCATGGAGGCTGGACCTTACCTGCCCCGAGCCCTGCAACAGCCTCTGGAACAGCTGGCTCGGTATGGGCGGCTCCTGGAGGAGCTCCTGAGGGAAGCTGGGCCTGAGCTGAGTTCTGAGCGCCAGGCCCTTGGGGCTGCTGTACAGCTGCTTCGGGAACAAGAGGCCCGTGGCAGAGACCTGCTGGCTGTGGAGGCGGTGCGTGGCTGTGAGGTGAGGCCCTGGCTCCAGTCACTGCTGCTCAAACGGCCCAGCCCTGGCCTCAGAAGCCATGTAGGTTGGTGACAGGAGAACCAGGCTCCAGGTCAGAGGGCCCCAGGCTTTAATTTCTAACCAGCTGGGTGGCCTTGATTGAGTCACTGAACTTCACTGGGCCTCACTTTCCTCCTTTGTAAATAAAGAAGCTATGTCCTCCCAACATCCCATGTTCCTACATCCGCCTTGTACTCTCCCGTTCCTTTCCTAATTGTTATCTTTCCCCACCTACCCTATACTTCCTCCTGCCCCTCAACACCCAGCACATACCTTATCTCGTCTACCTAGTCTTTTTCCAGCCCTGAGGTTCCAAAACATGTTGGAATCCTATATCCTCCTCTGGAATAGACCTATTTCCCTTTCAGTTCTTCGCTGATTCTCTTCCTGGATCCCCAGCATGCAAAGGCTTCCCCACAGGCGGCTATAAACCTTACTATGCAGTGCACCTTGCCATCTTCAGAAACAGGGCTGTGCTGCTCAGCTGGGTGGGCTGTGCATGGTGACCAGTGGATGGACTCTAGGCTGAGGGCTTCCCTGACTTCCTGACCCTGCCTGAGAACCAGTGCGTTAGGCCCCTTGCCCTATAAATCTATTTTTGCTCCCTGTAAAATACAAACAAAGGGCCCCTGGGCCAACCACTTTTGCTTTTCCTTTCTCCAGATAGATCTGAAGGAGCAGGGACAGCTCTTGCATCGAGACCCCTTCACTGTCATCTGTGGCCGAAAGAAGTGCCTTCGCCATGTCTTTCTCTTTGAGCATCTCCTCCTATTCAGCAAGCTCAAGGGCCCTGAAGGAGGGTCAGAGATGTTTGTTTACAAGCAGGCCTTTAAGGTACAATTCCTGGAGTGAGTGGTGGAGGTGACAGGAAGTCATTCTCTTCTTGAGAACTCAGGATGTTCTGGAAATTCAACCCCAACACAGGTTGAGAATCTGCATCATCTAGAATAGGCTTTGGCTTGTAATCGACCATCAAGTTAGGGTGTCAGGGGATGTTGGAAGTCCCTGTCACTGGTCTACCTCATGAGGTTTTCCTTATCATTCATGCGGAAGCCTTAGGAGGCATTCCAAACGAGACTGGAAGAGGAGCTTTCCCACTAAGGACACACATGCCTTTGGAATTAGGGTTGGTTCCTAGGGCATGAGGAGAAAGCACACTATACTTTGACTAAAGAATCCAAGAAGAGGCAGGCCTTGCTTTAGGGAAACAGCCTTGATATCCAGATAAGCATTTATAGCAACCTATGGTCCTGGATCAGGCAGTGTGGGGTGGATTCTAAGGGTTTCTAGACTTTGTACCCCCTGCATGAGTATAGCACAGAGGAAAAGGCCTGGGTCCACTTCCAGCTCTACTAAGCTATGAGAAGCCTTTGTGCAAGTTGTTTCATGTTTCTGGCCTCATTTCCCCTTCTGTAAATTATGGTTGTTGTGAAGACTAAATGTAGAGCACTTGGCACATGATAGGTGTTGAGCAAACGTTTACTGAACATCCATCAGATGCCAGGCTAAGCCCAGTGCTTGCCATGTGGCGCCACCCAGCCAGGACTTGCTCTGTCTTCACCCACTGCCCTCTGCTCTTCCTCAGACTGCTGACATGGGGCTGACAGAAAACATCGGGGACAGCGGACTCTGCTTCGAGTTGTGGTTTCGGCGGCGGCGTGCACGAGAGGCATATACTCTGCAGGCAACCTCACCAGAGATCAAACTCAAGTGGACAAGTTCTATTGCCCAGCTGCTGTGGAGACAGGCAGCCCACAACAAGGGTACTGGGCAGAGCTGAGGAACAGGGTGCTTGGAGTCAGGGTTATAGCAGGAAGTTTTCTGGAGAGTATGGGGACTGCTTGGGAAAACAGTTTATAGGATGAAGAAAGAATGGCTTAGAAGAAGATTCAAGATTTGGCTTGAGAGAAATTACTGAGGTAGAAATAAGCCTAAGATATACCAAAAAGAAAGAGAAAGCTGGCAAATTTCAGGGAAGCAAGAGCAAGTAGGGGTCAGGTGCATTTTGAGAGAGCAAAGTGGGAGGATTGCTTGAGGCCAGGTGTTCAAGACCAGCCTGGGGACATAGTGAGACCCCATTTCTACAAAAAAGTTTAAAATTAACTGGGCATGGTGGTGTGCACCTATAGTCCTAGCTATTTGAAGAGTAAGGTAGGAGGATCACTTGAGCCCAAATGTTCAAGGCTACAATGAGCTATGATGGTGCCACTGCACTTGAGCCTGAGTGACAGAGCAAGACTCTGTCTTTAAAGGATTAAAAAAAAATTTTTTTAATAAAGCAAATGGCTGGAAAAAGAAGGTGAGAAACCACTCACTTGGATTTAAGAACTGCTGCTACTTGCTGTGTGACCTGGACTAGTTTTGTTTTTTGTTAGTTTTGTTTTTATTTTTGACTTTTTGCTGGGTTTTACCTTGGTTTTAATTTTCGGAACTTCATTCTGCTCATCTGAAAAATGAAATAGTAATGTCTTCATCATAGTGTAATAGGGATGATTAAGTAAGGTGAAATATATGGAAGCACCTTGTAAACTGTAAAAGTATGTAAAAATGTGAGGGTTTTTTTGTTTTGTTTTGCTTTTTTTTTTGCTCTTAATACCCAAGATGCAGAGTAGAAATCAGGCAGCTGGGATGCCAAATGGGCAGGATGCAACATACTGGAGAGAAGAGCCAGATATCTGAGGAGGAAGTCACACCATCATTGCCATCCATGTTGTGATAGTCAACAGGAGGAGTAAAAAGAGACACGAGAGGAATGAAAGGGAGGAATGAGGGTTGGAAAGGAGCAAAACAAAAACAAAAACAAACCAAAAAAGTAAACCATGACGTGCTAGGGCTAGAGAGAAGGGCAGGAAGAAGTTGGTAACAAGTGTCCCTATTCCCCAGAGCTCCGAGTGCAGCAGATGGTGTCCATGGGCATTGGGAATAAACCCTTCCTGGACATCAAAGCCCTTGGGGAGCGGACGCTGAGTGCCCTGCTCACTGGAAGAGGTGAGGGCCATGGTGCTGGGGGGTGGCCCCCCAGGAGTGAAGACCTTGACAATGAGGATACAAAGGGGAGGTGTGGTGGAAAGTCAGGAAGGGCATCTCGTTCCCAAATCAGTGGGACTGGCTGGGAGGCCCTCTGTGAGACTGAGGGTCATTCCAGGGAGCCAAGAGGGCTTTCCCACACCAGCACCCCACCCCCCACTCCCCACTCTCTGCAGCCGCCCGCACCCGGGCCTCCGTGGCCGTGTCATCCTTTGAGCATGCCGGCCCCTCCCTTCCCGGCCTTTCGCCGGGAGCCTGCTCCCTGCCTGCCCGCGTCGAGGAGGAGGCCTGGGATCTGGACGTCAAGCAAATTTCCCTGGGTGAGGCACCTCTGAAGGGGTGGCTCCCAACAGCTCGGTCATGGTGGTGATGTTCAGGCTGCTTGCTGCTGAGCAATTCCTTTTTCTAGCCAAGTAGCCCAGTTGCCATGACAACTATGTACAGCTTCCCCACTGCTAAAAGAACCGTCTGGTTGCTAGGGTGATGCTTACAACAGCCTGTTGCTAAGAAGCACTTCCTCTGTACCTCTCTCTCTAGCTCTCCTTGGGTTTCTATGGAAACTGCCTCAGCTTCCTGTTGTACCCTCTTGGTTCACCACGGCAATCCTTATAGTTTCCTGTCGCTTCTTCCCTGGTTGCTCTAATGATGCTGCTGACAATTTCCTGCCTCTTGGTAGGGGGTTCCCTTGCAACTGGATCGCTATGGTGACTTACAGCTTCCTGTTGCTATGGAGCTTTTTCTTCCCTGATGGAGCAGCTTGGTTGCTTAAGGTAATCTGGAGGGATTCTATACTCTGCTCTCACCCTAGCTTCCCCTTCAGCCCCAGAAACACTTGACTCTTCTGGAGATGTGTCCCCAGGACCAAGAAACAGCCCCAGCCTGCAACCCCCCAACCCTGGGAGCAGCACTCCCACCCTGGCCAGTCGAGGGATCTTAGGGCTATCCCGGCAGGTAAGTTCCTACAATGAGGCTGGGAACGAGGTGATCTCTTTGGCTGCTTTCTGGGTGGGCTTTTCTGATCTTTCAACCCTAGGGGGGTTGGGGGAAAACTGTGAACCTGTGCTCCTAGCTGAGGCTACAGACTGGATTTATTATCTTGTCTACCTTTCTCCTCTCCCCGGGACCTGGCTAAGAGGCATCAAGGTCACAGGTTAAAAGGAATCTTAAATAAGGAGTATAGTGCTGGGGTGGATGGAAAGGGGAGAATGACAGTGGCCTGGCTTGAACTTGGGTTAAAATGGCAAAACTCAGGCCAGGTGAGGTGGCTCATACCTGTAATCCCAGACTTTCAGAGGCTCAGCTGAGAGGATCACTTGAGCCTAGGAGTTCAAGACCAGCCTGGGCAACATAGTGAGACCCAATCTCTACAAAAAAAGAAAAAAAAGTTTTAATTAGCTGAACTTTTGAGGGGTGCACACCTATAGTCCCAGCTACTCAGGAGGCTGAAGCAGGAGGATCACGTGAGCCCAGGAGGTTGAGACTTCAGTGAGCCACATTTGTGCAACTGTACTCCAATCTGGGCAACAGTGAGCACCTGTCTCTAAAAAAATAAAAGTAAATAGCAAAATTCAAGGACTTTGGGTAGGAAAGAGAGATGAACTGACAGGCTTGTGGGGAGGGATGGAGGGAAAGAAAGCGAGAGAAAGACAAGAAATATGTCCCTAAATTCACTGTAGTTTCTCTCCCCCCAGAGCCATGCTCGAGCCCTGAGTGACCCCACCACGCCTCTGTGACCTGGGTGAGTCAGCATCCCCAATTTCTTCCACATCCAACATTCCTTCCGTCTTGCATGTACCTTCCTTCCTGTCCCCAGCTACTCGGGAGTCTGCTTCTTCCCTCTCCCAACTCATCTCCCTCTTCTCTCCTGGCTTCTAGAGAAGATCCAGAACTTGCCTGCAGCTTCTCCTCTCAGCACACTTTGGGCTGGGATGGCAGTGGGGCATAATGGAGCACTGGGCGATCACTGAATTTCTTCCCTCTGCTTCCTGGACACAGAGGAGGTCTAAGGACCAGAGTATTGCCCTGCCACCACTATCTCTAGTCCCCCTAGCTTGGTGCCTTCTCCTGCAGGAGCCAGAGCAGCCACATTGCTTGCCTTCATACCCTGGAGGTGGGGAAGTTACCCCTCTTCCAGTGCTTTCCCATCCTGGGCCACTGTATCCAGGACATCACTCCCATGCCAGCCCTCCCTGGCAGCCCATGTTCTCCTCTTTTCTCACCCCTTGACTTTCCCTGAGAAGAATCATCTGTGCCAGGTCAACCGGAGTTCCCGGTGACTCCATTCTGAGGTGTCACAAGAAATGAAGCTATGCAAACTATAATAGGAGGGTGCAACAGGGAACTGTAGACTTTATATATGTAATTACTGTTATTATAATACTATTGTTATATTAAATGTATTTACTCACACTTTGCCTCCAAGGAGCTAGAGTAGTCCTCTGGATTAAGGTGATAAATAACTTGAGCACTTTCCCTCAACCAGCCCTTAACTAGAACACAGAAAATAAAACCAAGACTGGAAGGTCCCCTGTACCCTTCCCAGGCCCAGAGCTGACTGTGTGTGAGCCTGGGAGAATGTGTCTCCTCCACAGTGGCTCCCAGAGGCTCCACTCTCTGAAGCTCCTTCTCCCACACTGCACCTACTCCTTGAGGCTGAACTGGTCACAGACAAACTGGGATGCAGCACAGTCCAGCAGTTCTCAAAATGAGGCCCTCAGGCCACAGTGTGTGAGAACTTGATTGGCTATTTGTTAAATGCTGATTCTTGGACCCCATCAGAGCTGCTGCATTGAAACCTGGGGGTGAAACCTAATATTCCGCATTTCTTATCAAACTCTTTGGGTGATAACTAAATGTCTGAAGAGGTGACTATTTCCTGACAGAATGGCCCAAAGAGAGGAGCAGGACATAGGTAGGCAGACAGACACAGGGCCCTGTGCCTCACGACACCTGTTTATTGGGGACACGACTCTGCAACAGGGATGACAGGAATCGTACCAAAAATAGCGACGTCTACAGAGCCCCTGATGGGGCTAGAAGGGTACAGTGCTCCCCACCCTCACCCCTTGTACAAAAATAAACTCTCACGCCTATGGACCAGCAAAGACTGGCAGAGTGGCTCCTCAACAGGGACACAAACCCTCTCTGCCAGCCCAGGGACCCCGTTCTTTGACCCTCACCTCTGCCACTTCTAAGGCACTGTGACTCCCTTGGGCTGGGTGGGTACCGCCAGCCCACCCTCCTACGCCCGCCGCCCCTTCCACCTCTGGTCCGCCTGGGGCTGGGATATGGGTCCCACGCTGCCCCCTGCTGGCTTCTCTACCCAACTACCTCTAGCGCTCCCCCGCTCCGGCGGGGTAAGCTCACTAAGCTAATCGCCCCTGAGGGCTCACTACCGTTCTTGCCCCCCTAGCCCTGCCTCTCCGGGTCTGGACAGCCCGGAGCCCTCCTCCCCTTCCTGCGAAGGACTGGGAGGGGTCTCTCCTGATGGTACTCGGGCATAGGGCGAGGACGCGTCAGCCTGGGGTGGCCGGCGGCCCCTAGCCCGGCGGCTGTGGTGCACTTGAAGGTGCAAGGCCATGAGCTCTGGGGCTCCAGTGGCGAAAGGGCAGAAGAGGCAGCGGTGGAGGGCACCCCCCGGCCCGGCCTCGCCTCCCGGCCCTGCCCGCAAGGACAGGTCCAGGGGTTCGGCCTCACCACCTCGCCCGTTGCGCAGGGTCCTCCCAGGGCTGGCGGGCTTCCGACGGGACCCCGGCCCAGCACTGCTAGAAGGAGGCCGGGGGCTTGAGGCACCCTCCACCCAGGTCGCAGGCTGTGGAGACGGCTTGGCTCCAGATTGCGGGGCTGAACCCCGCTGGGAAGGAGGCGGTGGTTCCGGGGGTGGCCCGGGGCCAGCCCCGCTCCTCTGCTCCCGGTGGTGGCGCTGTAGGTGATACTTGAGCGAGCCGGACTGGGTGCCCGCGTAGTCACAGTGCGGACACTTGTAGGGCCGCTCGCCTGGAGAAAGTGGGTGCAAAAGGGTTACGGGGTCACGATCACTGCACGCACCCACCCGAATTTCGCCCAATTTAGAGACCTCATTCTCAGAACCAAGAAAGGGCACTGCGTCTCCCACCCACTTTGATTTAATAAAGGAGCCTCATTTCCCAAGTGATCTCATCCAGCCAAACTGAAGGCTTCGGAACAAACTTCACCTCCCGGTGTTTCGGTAGCCCTCGCCTTTCTGCCCGCCCCCTAGTCCCCTCTCCACGCCGGAAGCTGCCTCCCTCACCTGTGTGCACTCGCAGATGCACTTTGAGGTGATGTGCTGAGCGGAAAGATTTTCCGCAGAAGGGACAATCCTTGCCGGTGGCGCCCCGGCCCCCTTCAGGCCGGGTCCCTCCAACCAACAGCCCATTCTCTTCTGCAACACATATATTAAGAGGAAGTCAGCGGGGGCCTACACTCTGTCCAGGTCCCGTGCACCCACCCCACACCCACCCCATACCCACCCCACACCCACCCCATAGGGCTGCTTCCCCTCGGAGTCCAGAAGGAAACAAAAGTCTGAGGGGTTAGATTTGTTGTGACTAAAGAGTCAAGTGTTCTCAAATGATGGCAAAGCCTCCAGAAAAAAAAAAAAAAAAAAAAAAAAAAACTCAGAAGAAATAAAAGATATTTTAAAAAGGAAGCTATGGGGGAGTGGCGGCGTAAGAGTCAGAGGAGGACGCGGCGTACCCGGAGAGCGGAGGGTCCCTACATACCCTGCGTGGTGGTCGATCTTGCCGGGGCCCCAGCAGAAGGGGCAGAGTGCCCCGGTCCCTCACCCGGGCGTGGATGCAGGGAAGCCAGAGGGCCCAGCGACCTGCCCCGGGCCCAGGTCTCCTCCTCGGCCTCCACCACCTCCTCTTCTTCCTCCGGCTCCTCCGCACGGTGCCGGCGAGCCCGGGCCGGGAGAGCAGAGGACAGCGGGCGGAAGCCTCCGAAGCTGCGGCCGGGCCCGGGCTCAGCACCCTCGCCGTTGGGCCGGCTCTCGCCAGCCCGCAGGCTCAGGTAGCCCAAGAGGCTCGGGGGCTCACGGCGCTCGGCCGGGGTGGGCGCCGGGGCCAAGAGGAGCGCTGGGCCCAACGGCTCATAGGCCAGCAGGCCGAGGTCAGGAGGCTGCGGGGCCCGGGCAGGCCCGGAGCCAGGCCCCGGGGCACGCAGTGGGCCCAGCTTGCTGGCGTGCACCTTCATGTGGTTCTTAAGGAACCAGGGCTCCTTGAAGCAGCGGCCGCACACCGGACACGCATGATCGAAGGAGGCCTTGTGCTTACGCATGTGGCCCTTGAGAAACCAAGACTGTGTAAAGCTCTGGCCGCACACTTGGCAGCGGAACTCTGGAGGTGCTGGGGGCTCCTCGGGAGCGACAGGAGCTGGGGTCGGGGTTGCCTCACGTTCGGGCTCGGGCTCCGGCTCCGGGACTGATCTAGTTTCGGGCTGGGGTGGAGGCTGAGGCTGAGGCTGAGGCTGAGGCTGAGGCTGAGGCTGAGGCGCAGCGGTGGTGGCCGCCAGGGGGCGCTCGGGAGCCCCGTGGGCCGTCAGGCTGTGGTGCAGCAGCTCCTCCTCCTGGCTGGAGCCGAAACTGCACAGGCCGCACTTCCAGGGCCTGTGCAGGATGTGCAGGTGGCGTTCGCGCTCCGCCGAGGTGCGAAACTTGCCTTTGCAGTAGGGGCAACGGAAGGCGGACGATGAAGGAGCCTGGGGCCGCGCCAAGCCCTCAGTGGCAGCGGTGGCCTGCATGCCCCCTGAGCTTCGGGCTCTCCCCAGTCGAGCCTCGCGTAGTAGCGCGCGCTCTTCCAACTCCAGCAACAGGCGTGCAGCAGGACTACGTGGGCGCTCGGGCTGGTGTGTGCGCAGGTGCGAGCGCAGCAGAGCCCGCTGCGCCGCGCGGTGGCCGCAGTGTGGGCACTGGAAGGCCTGGGCGCCTGGGTGCGCCCGCAGGTGCAAAGCCAGGATAGAGTTGAAGCGGAAGCGCTTCCCGCATACAGGGCAGGGGAAGCGCCGTTCGCCTGCACGACTCTCAGACCAGCTCACCGCTCCCATCCCGGGCGACCCTGCGCTCACGGCTGGCCCGTTGGAGTATCGCTGCAAATCCAGCTCGCCGTCGAAAGCCGGCGGCGACGGCGCTAAGTGGCCGCTCGGGGCGCGGGGACGTGAGCCCTGTGGAGAAAGATCTGCGTAGAGCAAAGGGTGAAGGTAGAGCTGTAAAGGAAGAAAGGGCGTCACCTCGAGGGCCAGGACAACACGAGGGAAGGTGGACTGGGGCCTGAACTAGGAACACACAGTGCTACTCACCTCGGGAAGTTGGGGGTGGGGTGTATGGGAATCGAGATGTCAGGACCAAGGAGTTAACTTCTAATAATGGGAGGTCAAAGAGAGAGAGAGGTAGGCAGGAGAAGGAGTATACAGTTGTAGGTACTTGTAGGTTGAAGCCAGAGCTTCACTCACCTCCATGGACCCCCTTCACATTCTTTGGTTCTGGGGAGTGCAGGGAAGAGGAGGAAAAGCTGCTAATGAAGGCAACAGGTGCTGTGGAGCTAAAGCAAGAGAGACAGATTTGGAGGAAGAGATGAGCCCCAGTTTTCAGCAGTAAAGTCACTCCCTACCCCCAGACTCTCAGCACTCTGTATTCCCAAAACCAATCCCTTCTCCCTACTTGCATCTTGAGGCACGAAGGGGCTGCTGTACTCAAAAACTGTACCTCTTGATTTGCCAAGCCTACAAGCCTCCCAAATAATCCAGATTTCTTCCCGAAATTCTACATTTTAAATGCATGGTCCAGAACAACCACAACTACCACCCCACCCCCTGGCGGTGGGGAAGACCATCACAGTATGCCCCTCTCCCATGTAGGTTGGGCTATGCAGTGTGGTGAGCAAATGGGGTGGGCTTGCCATGCTCCCCAGTTATCCAAATGGGATCAGTTGCTCTGAGACCCCTAACTGACCAGCCAGCCAAACATCCTTCCAGGTTCCACAGTGCTTCCTTCTGCCCTTACCCTGTCTTTCTGTCTTTCCCCCCTCATTCTCCCTCCCTCCGCCTGGATTCCTGATCCATTCATTTCCATTCATTACAGAGACTCATTCATGCATGGGAGAGAAACACCTCCCAGCAGCAGAGTCTGAAGACAGACAGAGGGGGAGGGGCATGAGGGGGAGGGAGCCAGAGGGAGAGGGAATGAAGAGAGAGTTGGGGGAGGAGTGGAAGTTAAGGGGCACAGCTAGCCTGGGGAAGGGGCTAAAAACTGCAAATACCGTATAGGATTCATCCCCTTGTTTCAAACCTTGGAGCCTGCAGTATGATGGGGCATCTGAGCCCCTTTGTCCAGGGCTGTTCCGAGGCAGGCTTTCCTCCTCTCTGCAGGGGAGAGGCTCCCTCACACAAGAGGAGGATTACACTGGCTCTGAGCTCAAGAGGCTGGAGTGAGGGACGGGGGGCGGGGCTGGGCCATCTGCACAGATAGGGACTCAGCACATGCTCTGAGCAGGAAGGGGTTAAAATTCTCCAGGCTAAAATTCCCTAGGCCTGGGACTTGCAGAGCTCCAGTGCTGGGGAAGGAGATCATTGAGAGGAAGAGGATGGGGGGGGTGGGGGGTGCTGATCCTAAGCTGCAGAGGAGTTTAGCATGAGGACTTAGAAGAAACCCCAGAATCAAGATTCATGGAAATAGGCCTGGGAAGATGACCAGGAGTCATCTAGTCTACCTTTCTGCCTCATACAGAGAACGGTATCTGGTCAAGGCTAAATGAATGTGGGCCTAACCATATTTTTTTTTTTGTCTAAGAAAGAATATTTGAGATATAAAGAACTTCCTTACAATAGGCATCACGAAACTGAAATGGGTTACTGAGAAAGAAAAAGATGCAAGCACTACTTTGCCTAAGGATCTTTAATAGAAAAGAACTGGGCCAGGAGTCAACCTGCCTGTCAGCAGAGAGAAAAGGCTCTGGAGGTCCAAGGCTTCTTTAATTTTTGACATTTAGTGGATGTGGTAAAACTCCATGAAGGGGCAGGTACCTGTTACATGTGGAATCGGGGCTATAGGATTATTATTAGCAGTTATTATAATTAACAAAGTGTCCTTGTCCAAGGGTCACCAGACGACCTCCACTATCACTTAATATGTGTATTTCTGTAGCTTCAAATTAGGGCACCCACTCTCATCCTCTGGATCCTTTCCTGGGACTAAGAGCCTAGCTAGGCTTATTGAATAGTGCCACAGAAGGTGAATTAGAATAGGACTGAGGGGTACAAGGCTATTGTAGGCCTAGTCTGAACATTGATAACCCTACAACCCTTACTAAATCACTTAACCTCCCAGTTTACTCATCAGTAAAATAAGGGGATTGGACTAATTTATATTGTTAGTCCCTTCCTGCTCAAAAAAATTTGTGGTTCTAAGTCATAGAACTCTTTTGGACCCCAGAGAGATGTTAAAACAAATGGTCATCCCTTCAGTACCATGGAGAGTGCAGTGGGCTACCACAGAAGCCACTTGGGCCACCTCAGTACCATAGATAGAGCTATGAGGTGCTAGAGGGGCTCTTTGCCATTTTAGCATCACAGATACAACACAGAAAAGCTAGAGCATTTTTTTTTTCGTTCCTATCTGAAAACCATAGAAAAAAACCCAGTGGTACCAGAGGGATTATTTTGGCCTTTTAGATGTCACTGAAAATAGAAAGAGCTAATAGAAAATAGATGTAACTAGAAGAATTTTAATTAGCTATAAGGAGCATCCTGACAGTTACAGTTTGTACATCCTGGAATGAGTTACTGAGGCATCATATTTGGGTCCATCACATTCTGTTGCTCTCCTGGGGATTCCCGGAACATCCTGGTGTACAGCCAATCTGGTATATTCAGAGGAAGCAGATGGTGGAGGCGGGGGGGCTGGGAATACTGCATGGTCATAGCTGACTAACCTATGGGCACATACTCTCATTCTGAGAAGATTCTAGGGCCCATAAAACTGTCTGTAGGATAGCCAGCAAAATCTCATAGGAAGCTGGCCTCATATCTGAGGCAAAAAGAGTGGGAATAGGGCAAAGCTTCCTATCCCAAAACAAAACAACAATAAACCACTTTGCACATAGCAGTTTCCAGAACAGAAATAGAGTGATATACAAGAAGGCCCAAACTGAAGCTGAATTCCCCAGCAGGGAAAGTTTCCCCAGAAGGTGGCCTAAAATCAACAAAACTCACTGAGATACCTTCCTAGGCCCAATCAAGATCTCCTGAATCATCTCCATATCAAACCAGGTTCCAGATACCTGATCCCATGATTTTTTCTCAGTAGGGGAAAGAACTGACAGGGACTGGGATACTATGAACTGCCTTGGAACCGAGGTCATGCATATATTGCCCTGGACAATAATCACAGAGTTTTCTATAGTCAGGCCTTAAACACCATCCCGAGACTTGGCCAGACAGCAGCACTGACCTACTTTCCACCCCCACTGGGAATCAGGGGTTATCTTGCCCTTATTTGGATTCTGTAAGGATGAAGGGCCAGGGATAGGTATCAGAAACCTTTCGAAAGCAACAGGCCAATTATCCTTACATGCTGGGGCAGCTGGTAGGGAAGTGGGTGTGGATCACTAAACCTTATTCAGTAGAGAAGGATGGAATGGTTGGTGAAAAGACTTAGAAACAACAAGGACAGGTACATAGAAGTATTTGCTAAATGGAACACAAAGACTGTCCCTCAAGTCTTGTGATTCAAAAGTTTTTAGGGTCAAAGTGTAAGGAGCAAGGGTTCAGGACTTCTGGGGTCCAGTTGTAACTGCCTCTGGTCACCTCTAACACAACAGTTTTCCCTCTTGAGAATCCTACACCTCCCGAATCTGCTAACAATTATGATTACCACTGCACTAGATGGGGTTAAAAGCAAAGGGAGCTTCTAGGGCGGTCTACAGTCAAGACTACCTTGATCACACACACACACCAGTAGTTCACTTTTATGGTCTCCTCTCCATGGCCCTCTGAACCTCACTGCTCAGATAGCTCCTCCAAACCCACTCCACTCTGCAGCTCGCCAGCCTTTTTAGACTGAGTTCTTGGTAAAGCCTCCTTCCCTGTGTCCTCACTCTCCTGAGTTGGAGACATGGAACCTCAGCCATGGACTCCAAAGGTACAGCAGGAAGCAAGAGGAAGGCACACCTGCTCACCTGCTGCCATCCCACCATGGGGAATCTTATCCCAGAGGCATGTCCTAACGCAACCCCGATTTTGATTTTGAAAGTTCTGGAGGACCTGGGTTTGGGAACGGGGGTCATGTAGACAGCCCTAAGTCCCCTTAAGTAGAGCTGACCCTAGAAAAGTCAGTATTAGCACCCACGTGAGCCTCAGTCCTCAGACTGGGACGTAGGGGTGACCAAGGGAGCCTCTGGGAAAATCCCCCTCCCAGAAATAGATTGCTAAGTAGGGTAGGACCTGCAATCCTGCCCGAGAGGTTTTTCCAGCAGCACCTCAGACCCCTCCCCAGGAAGATAAGCCAGAAGGATGATGGGGGGCAGGGTTGGGAGATAGGGAGGCCAAGGCTCAGCTACCCCCGGCCAGGAGAACAAAAGCTGAGTTACAGCCGCCTCCGCTGCTGCCGCGGGCCGAGCTCTTTGTGACACTTTGTTTGGGACGCAAAGAGGGAAGCACCCCCCATCCTCTCCCCTCCCCCGCCACCCCGTGCTCCCGGAGAGTTTGGGCTCCTTCCCCCTCCCCCACCAGCCCTACCTGGGCCGGGGGTTGAGGGGTGCACATCCACTCAGGCTCGCGGCTCTGCCGCCCCTCACCCCCAGGCCCCTCGCGCCCTGCCTTCGGGCCCCTACAAAGACACCCGCCACCTCCCCCGCCACATCCCCCCCGTTGGCCCTTCCCTTTGGTGTCTGCTCCCCCAGCTCCTCCACCTGGCCCCCCCTTCCTTGGGGCCCCCCAGCTCTCCAGGCTTCCGAGGCCGCCACCCCCACCCCGCCCCCCCAGGAGCTCTGGGCGAAGTTTGCTTGGGGCCGAGCCGGCGCCCCTCCCCCGCCCCCGCCCCCTGCACCTGCTCCGAGCCGGGCGCGCTGAGCGGGCCCCCCCTCCGGGAGGGGGGGAGGGGGCCGGGGGCGGGGGCCGGGTGGCGGACGGGGGGGCCCGGGAGTGGGGGGAGCGGCTACTCACGAGCCCCGGGCGGGCGGCGGCGGAGCGGGCGGCGGCGGCGGCGGCGGCGGGCGGCGGGCCGGCGGCGCGGGCGTCAGCGTTACGTGGGGCCGGGGGAGATGCGCCGGGCCCCGGCCCCCCCGCCCCCGGCCCGGCCCCCGCCCCCTCCCCGGTCCCCCGCCCCCGGCCCTGGCCCGCATTGTGTGCGGCGGGAGGCGGCCCGGCCATTAGCATGCGGGGGGCGGCGCGGCGGGGCTGGGAGCCGCGCGGGAGCCGGGCTCTGGCTCCGGGGACAGGGAGCTGGGGACCCCGGGAGCCGCGAGAGGCGGCCGCCAGGGGCGGGGTGCGGGCGGTTTGGAGACGGGGGGCGCTGTCGGAGGGAGTAAGGGAGGGAGCGGGGGTGGGGCGCACAGAGGATTCCAACAGGAGACTGGAAGAGATTTTGAAAGGTCATCTCGTCCTTCCCCCAGCCTCCAAGCAGCACTGCCCCTCCCTCCCTAAACCCGGACATACCAGGGAAGGAGTTGGCTCTGCCGCTCTTTCTGCCCCAACATGCACAGACTCGGGAAGTTCTTCCTGGGGTTTTATCTCAAAGCCTCTCCCTTACAATTTCTGTCTCTCTTTTGGGGGAGGAGGAGGGGCGATTATAGAGATAGTTAATGTCGGCCGTATAAGAAACATTATTAAAGTTACTCTTCGGTCCTTTCCGTTCTTGATAAACAATTCCTGCTCCTTCCTCTCGAATTCTATTTTCCATCCCTCAAGTCACTTTAATGGCTCTTCAATACAACAAATATTTACTGAGTGCTTACTAAGTGCCAGGCACTGGGCTCAGCGCTGTGAGGGATGAGAGAGAAGTGGTACCTTCCTTCCAGGCGATTGTAGTCTAGACTACAAACTAGTAAGTAGTATACTCAGATTTATTCAATATTTACTGAATGCCTGTTCACCTATCTAATAGTTTATAATCTTTCCAATAACCCTCTATAATTAAAATTAGTCCCCATTTACAAGTAAGAAAAATGAGGCTTCAGGAAGTCTCTTTCCCCAATGGCCTGCAGGCTCAGGGATCCTCAGTGCAAGCCCAACATCTCACATCGCCACCAAATAAAATCAATGCACATGGGAATTGAGGAGGAGTAGACACACAACAGTTTTCTGGATCTCTTTAAAACGTGACTCCCACTCCCCGGGAAAGAAAAAAGTAGATACAGTGCCCCGCCGATGTTGGCACAGCACTGATGGGGCAGGAGTGGCTTACAAAAGATCACTTGCCTCCCAGGACCGTGCCTCCTCTACTAACTTCTAGAGTCTTCTGGCGCAGTCTCCTCTTACCGTCAACAACAAGAAGTAATAGTGATGATGATCATAGCCACTAACATTGAGCCCTTGTGTGCCAGATACTGGGCTAAGCTCTCTTCCATGCTGAAAGCAACCCCTTGAGACTGGTATTATTAACTTCCTTTTATAGATAAGGGAACAGAGAGATTAAGCAACTTGCCAAGGGCACCCAGGTAGACCTGGGATTTGTTTTGATCTATAGACTATATTTGGGCCCAGCTGGTTGTGCTTCTGACTGTAGAAATGTGTCCCCAGCTCACCTGCTGAATAACACCTTTAGTGTATGGGCATCAGGCTCATCAGTTTGACCTCATCAGCACCACTAATAGTAAGCACCCACCCTGAATCAACAACTCTTCATAGTCATATTGTTAGCCCCCTTTTATCAGTGAACAAACTGAGGTTCGAATAGGTAGAAAAACGTATCTATCAGGACACACACAGTGGCTCACACCTGTAATCCCAGCAGTTTGGGAGGCCAAGGAGGGGAGATCACTTGAGCCCAGGAGTTTGAGACCAGCTTAGGCAACACTGTGAGACCCTGTCTCTACAAAAAATTTAAAAATTAGCCAGACATGGTGGCATGTGCCTGTGATCCCAGCTACTTGAGAGGCTGAGGCAGGATGATTATTTGAGCCCAGAATGTGTAGGCTACAGTGAGCCATGATCATGCCACTGCATTCCAGCCTGGGTGACAGTGAGCCCCTCTCTCAATAATATAATAATAATAACAATAATAATAATGTATCCAAGATCACACAGATGGAGAAGCAGCAGAGCTAAGATTCAAGTCCAGGTCTGTCTGGCTATGAGGCACCTTCTCTCTCAAAAATATTAATTGTTGCAACAGCATCCTTCCAAGACTCACTATTTGAGGACCATCTTATGTATACATATATGTGTGTGTGTGTGTGTGTGTGTGTGTGTGTATCCAGTTGCAGGTTATCATTGAATCAAAAACAATCACCACTATAAACAGAGTTCCCCCATCCATTTAGTCAGTGTTCAATTCAGAGTAAAACCTTCAAGAAAGAAGGGAAGGGAGACTGTCCAGAAAGTGAGAGGCAAGAAAGCCACTGGAATTTAACCTTACCTGGTCTGGGGGCAAAGCTTCAAGTAGTAATGACAGGGGACCAATCCAGACAGAAAGTAGGATCTCTAAGGAAGGACAAATAATTTGAGGAGGAAGCCAAAGCAAGAAGTAAGATCATGTGGAAATGAGGGGGATTGAGGTCCAGAGTGATAGTGTCCATGGGAATGAGGTAAGTGAAACCAGAAAAGGAACCCAGGATGGGCAGAAATGCGGGTAATGAGAAATGAGAACAGAGTGAGGCCAGGCTAGACATCTTGTGGAGCGAACTGAGGCCGGTATCTACCCAGGGCCACTCCCTAGATCCTTAGGCCTTCATAGAAACCTTTGCCCCACCACACCCCATCTCTGACAGCCTTTCTCTGCCAGGACAAGTTTGTCGTCTGCTCTGAGCTATCAAGCCCCTTAGGAGACCTAAGACCCAGCTGGGTCCCATCCCTTTGGAGTTAACTGCTTCAGACTAGGTAGGTGTGAGGACCTGGACCTCAAATCCCTGGATATTGGGAGTGGGCAGAGGTATAACTGAAAGATATGTTGTTGAATGTCCTGTCTCCTAATAGATGGAACCTATAATGTATTTTTCCCAGCCTAGGAAGCACCTAATTCTTGTGGGCAAAGGAGCCATGGAAGATAGAGCTGGTCAGCAAGAGCAGGAGAGACACAGCCTCCGTCTGGAAAAGCTACAACATTGGGCGAGGCACAGGCAGAGTGGGCACCTCTTGGTGCTGGCGGTGAGGACAGGCTACCCCATCCCAAGTCTCAGCATGTCCACTTCTACCCAATTCAATTCCATCCATCCATCCATCCATGTTAAGTGAGCACCTACCATGTGCCAGAAACTGTGCTAGGATCTGAATGGGAGGAGGGTAGAGGAAAACATAGAAATAAACAAGGCAAGACCCTTAATCTCCAAGTAGCTTCCATCTTGTGGGGGAAAACATACAGGTAAGTAACTAAACTACAATATGAGGCAGAAAAAATTAAATGATACTTATTTTTTAATGATCACTTCCTTCCTTGCTCTGGGTTGACTGCTTTCCTCTACCCTCCATTCAATCCCATTTCCTGATCTCTAAAGAGGCAGGAGTTATGAGAAGGGAAGAGAATCCCTGACAGTTTCTCCTCAATTACCCTGCCCTTACCCCAGGTGAGTCAGCTATGGCTGGCAGTGGTTGTGGTGCCCCTTGCTGTCTCAGTCACCTGCCTGAACTCTGAATGTCACATGGCCACAGCGCTGCCTCTTGGGCCTGGAGCCTCAGTAAGACCCACCACAAGGGAGGGTGGAAGGTCCCAGGGCCCCTTCCTAATGGGACCAGAGCTCAACACTTGCCCCTCTCACCATTCAGGGTCTCCTCACTGGGACTGTTACCCTAGAGCTTCGCAGAGCACCCCGCCTCTGGAAGGTGAGAAGGAAGAGAACGCAGCACTGTCCCCCCACTCCCTAAAACAGACACCTACAACCCTCAGCCTAGGAAGTAAGTGGCTAAGTGTTGACTCATCCTCTCAGCTGTCACCACTCACTGGCCTCAATGACTGAGGAGGGAAAGCAAAAAAGTTAGAGGGCTTATGGCCCTGTTTGGAGGCTGAGAAACCGAAGCTGAGTTTTGTCTTCAGCTAGGCTGCAAGTGGGGATTGAGGTTGGAATGACTCCCCTAGGCTGGGCAGGGCTGAGCTGGCTCACTGGCAGGTGCGGGCCATGATGATATTCAACACCTTCAACTTGATCTTGGGTTTCATCGTGGTGGTGGTCGAGGTGATGAAGACAGCCTTGGGGCCTGCCCCAACTGCCTCCTCCCAGGTACTGGTGAATGAAGGAGAAGGTGGGAGGATGAGGAGGCAGGAGGAGGTGAAAAGGGAAAAGGGCAGGGGCGAACAGGTGCGGGGTCCCTGCATTCTCAGCCTTGTCTACCTGCAGCATGCTGGCTTGCTGGTGCTGGAGCTCAGTGCTGAGGCCTTCACCCTAGGGGGAGTGCTGGTCTCAGTGCACGCCCTATTCTTGCTGAGCCAGAGGAAACCAGGATGCTGCAGGAGCCAGAGTCTGCACTACCAGGAGCTGCAGGAGGTATGGGGGCAGGGAAGAAAGCATGAATAGCTAGCTGCCAACTAATTTTTCCACTGGCTATCCTGGTCAGTGGCATTTAACGGAAAACAATGGGGCAGGAGAGAAGAGGTCCTAGAATGAAACTGATTGGCTTTCTCTGGCTTTGGACATTTCTCCCCTAATGGTGGGTAAGAGGGAATTGGGAACCCAAATGATTGAGGTTAAAAGAGTGGGAAAGCATTAGGAAGCTGCCTAAATATTGGCAGGACTATGGGAAATAGGATAAAAAATTGGGCAGGAGGAAGCAGTTGTTTCTGTCTGGGATTTCTCCTTTCTCACCTCTACAATTTGCTCACACCTGTCTCTGGTTTTCAGGGCTTCTCTGAGTTGGAAGAGGTTCCTGGTTTGGAGAATGGTCCCACGGTGGCCAGCACAGGAGCAAATGAGAGGGCGGGACAGCGGGAACAGACACGTGCTGCTCTCCTTCCACCCTGAGAGAATGCTCTCCAGACATTCCTGCCCCACCCCACCAAACTCAGAAGCTTGCTGGGATCCTTTGAGTCCAACAGGAAGTCCGGGAATGCCTTCAGTTTTCACTCAGAGCAGGCCCTTTTTGCGTTCCTTCCCTGTTAGGGGAAGATATACCTGGACGAGAATATATCTCACCTACCACCTTGAAAAGCTGCTTTCTCCCTTCCATCCATATCCTCCCTGTCACCTCCCCATACAGCTTCACATCTGCCTCGTCTCACTCTTTTTTTCTGTCCACTTTTCATAATCCCATCCACTCCAAATCCTGGACCCTGCACACGCCAACTCCCTGAATCCAATTCAGGAGTGCCCCAGTTCCCCTTTCGATCCGTCTCCTTTCTGTTGCAGCGGAGACTACAAGTCCCAGGATGCCCCACTAGCCCGTGACCGGCCGGGAAATAAAGAGCCTTCTCTCCGCGGTAGGGGCGCTGTGGATGTGCTGAGTGACGCGAGGCGGGGAAGTCGGGGCCTAGCCTAGCGCTTTCTCGGACGCGACCACTGGCCCCGCGTTCGGGGAGGAGCCGGGCGGGCGGTCCTGCACTGGCGTGCCGCTCCCCCAGCCACTGCAATAGAGAGCTGGCTCTGGGTCCCCAGCCCTGCGCTGGCAGCTTCAGAGACTGGCGAGGGCTCGGAGCTGACGCTTGGCAGAGCTGGGGCTTCCCAGATGCTGTCGCCGCACCCCCTCGCAGGAGGGCCCAGGTCCGAAGTCCTGAGACTTGGAGCGCGCGCGAGAAAGGGGTTGGAGATGATGAGTCAGAAGCGCGGGGCCTTTCTAGTCCCCTCCCCTAGGGCCTGGGCGCTGAAGACAGGCTCGCTGGGCAGGCGGGTAGATAGGGCAGGCAGAGGGAGGGACGCTGCGACCTGCGTCTCTGCCTAACGCTTTCCCGCCTCTTGCGAGCACGCCGGTGTAACGAGCCCGCGCTGCCGCCACCCTTTATGTCCAACGCGGGAGCGGGACTGCGCAGGCTCGGCCTCTGGGCTGACCCGCCGACCTTTGATCTCCGCTGCGGTCGGGTTGCTGAAGTTCTGGCTGCGTTCAACCCCCACCGTTTACGACCTTTGCAAGTGTGCAAAGATAACAGGCTCGCTTGGGCTTGGGAAAAGCCCGGGAGAACTGGGAGTCCCAGTAGCAGCAGCAGCTGGGCAGCTTGCTAGTCGCTAGAAACTAGAAATTGACCAGAGCTGGAGTACCAAGAGAACTCACCCCAAATTCACATAGTGCCCGGGATGGCTGTTGGCCTCACACTCATTTTTGTTCCCACTTGAGAAGGCTTCTTTCCCTAGAGAATGCTGCTTCTCCCGGCCTAGCCAGGGCCAGGCACCAGTGAGGATAGAGCGCAGCCTGGCTGCCTTGCCTTGACATTGCAGTGGCGCCCGCTGCAGCTCCTTTCTGTTTGTGACACCTTGGAAGAGTGGTAATAATCTTCCTATGACAAGGTTAAGTGTGAGTACTAGTGGGTGGGGACAGTTCTGGGATCAGGCTCTGGAATGGAGAAAAGATCTAGGCCTTCTGCATTTCTTCCTCTCCCCTAGTGTAACTGCCAGAATAATGGAGAGCTCATGTGTGCAGGGCCGAGAAAAGAGTAATTTTCTTGAAAGTCAGAAGGTGGTGGTAGATGAGGAAGCTGAGGGAAGAAAATTAACAATTTGTTCTGTTTTCCAGGTTTTAGTGATGTGATCAGATTAGATATTGCATTCTAGTTCCTAGAGAAGCTTGATGACCGTGTAAATTAACCTCTATCAGTCAGATTAGGCTAGGCTCTGCTGTGGTAAATGCCAAAACCACAGTGGCTTAAAACCACAAAGGTTTGTTTCTCATACTCCGTGTCCAAAGTAGGCTGGCAAGGGGTTCTGTTCATTGCAAATGTTTAAGGTACCCAAGCTCATGGAGCGCCACCATTTTGAGATCCTACCCTGTCACTATGAAGGTTAAAGTTACCTACCCGCCCCCACTCTCGGAATGGAAGTAAGCATGAAGAATTCTTCATGGACTCTTAAATGCTGCCGTGAAGTGATACATTCATGTCACTTCCACCCATTCAATGGCCAAAGCAAGTCATATAGCCACACCCAACTTAAGGAAGGCCAGAAGGGCAATGCCTGCAAGGAGAGGGGAAGCAGAAATACTTCATTAAAAGAAACATACTTGGCGGGGCTGGGAGGTTCACGCCTGTAATCCCAGCACTTTGGGAGACCAAGATGGGTGGATCACCTGAGGTCAGGAGTTCAAGACCAGCTTGACCAATATGGTGGCCGTCTCTACTAAAATTACAAAAATTAGGCCGGCATGGTGGTGGGTGCCTGTAATCCCAGCTACTCGAGAGTTGGAGACAGGAGAATTGCTTGAACCCAGGAGGCAGAGGTTGCAGTGAGCCAAGATCACACCACTGCACTCCAGCCTGGGAGACAAAGCGAGACTGTATCAAAAGAAAAAAGAAATGTATTAATAGTTTGTGGTGATTTTTGAACAGCTTAGCAGTTGAAATTTATCTGTTCCAGCAGTTATGCTCATACCTACTTCTTTGGTTTGGTTTCATGAACCCCTAAGTTCTTACTAGAAATTTTTCCTCAATAGGACTGGGACTCAGGAAACCTAGATTCTAATTCTGTTGCTTGGGCAAGTCAGACCTCTCTGAACTACATTTTGTTCACTTGGAGGTTATGGTAATAATATTTATTCTCTCTACCTTACTGGAGTATCAAGGCTAAAATAAAATCACACAAGGAAAAGTACTTTATTTATTTATTTTATTTATTTATTTTTTTTTTTTTTTGAGACGGAGTCTCGCCTGTCGCCCGGGCTGGAGTGCGGTGGCCGGATCTCAGCTCACTGCAAGCTCCGCCTCCCGGGTTTACGCCATTCTCCTGCCTCAGCCTCCCGAGTAGCTGGGACTACAGGCGCCAGCCACCTCGCCCGGCTAGCTTTTTGTATTTTTTTTTTTTTAGTAGAGACGGGGTTTCACCGTGTTAGCCAGGATGGTCTCGAACTCCTGACCTCGTGATCCGCCCGTCTCCGCCTCCCAAAGTGCTGGGATTACAGGCTTGAGCCACCGCACCTGGCTAGGAAAAGTACTTTAAAATTATAAACCACTTCAGGGGTTGAAAATAAATTGCCTGTAGAGGTAAGAAGTCGTTTAAATGATAATTTCTTAAAACTCAAGAGCCAGTTCAGCTATAGTTCTTCAATCATCAGTCTGCATTAGATAAACATAGTAGGAATTCAGGTTTTGAATATATGTTACAGTTCATGTAGACCTTGCAAAGTCTAAGAGTCTTAGATTAAACATTAAATTCTTAAAACCTTTCTGATAAAACCTTTTTCATCATATCCCTCTAGGGCATCGGTTCTCAGAGAAGGGTCATTTTGTTCCCTAGAGGATATTTTGCAAGGTCTGGAGACATATTTGTTAGTCACAACTGAGGAGTGGGGGAGGTGGGAATATGTAACAATGGAAGGCGCAGTAGATGAGAAGTCAGATTTGGGATTTAGTTCCAGTGCTACTAATGCCGCCTTCCTGTGCATTATCCTCTGCCAGCTGCAAGCAAAGACTATTTGAAACTTGTCCTGTGTTCCTCATTATTCCCCCTCCACACTGCCTATTGCCAGAGTCCCGGGCTGCTCCATGACAGCATTCTGCTTTGCTGCAGTGATTCCCAGCAACCACTGTATCTGCTTCTTTCTTCATCAGTTTGGCAGCCTCTGTGGAGGTCACTCATCTTACTTGAATGAGAACTTCACCGAAAGAAGAAACTGACAAGGTTTCCGCTGACATCAGTTTTTAAAGGCCGTAACCCCTATCTATTCTTTTAAACATTAAAGAAATCCAGTTCATGATATGTGGCTTAATATGCAGCAGTGGCACATTGGTGGTTGGGAAATTCTCCATGTGAATACATTTTACCCTCATTTCTTTGAAATTCTGTCATTTATTCTGGCTTTTAATACATGAATATAGACAACTGACGATATTTCACAAATGAACTTTTTCCATTTCTGAATCTGCCTTTTGGCAAGATGGCTCAGGTTTCTTGTCCAGGGCTGTGTCCTCTGCTGCCATCTCGTGGCCTCTTGGCTGCCCAGGTTGAGGTCTCATAAAGCGCCTTCCCTAAGGTAATGTCGTTTGGCAGTGGCTTGGTTAGAGAAAGACTCTCCTCTCCATGGTGTGGGGCGCTACCCAAGTTCCTCCTCTGCAATGGGTCCCTGAGGGCAGCAGCACACTCGGCCTGGCTGGAAACCTGGGCCTCACAATGAGGCAGGAGGTGGAGGGCCCCTCCTGGTCTTCTGCAAACCCTTGGGCCTCTGTGTCTGTTATGCAGTCCTGGCCAGGAGCCACCAAATTCAGTGAACCCAACTGCCCCCAGGTAATTGAAGCTGAGCGCCTGCTTGGCCTGAAGAATGCAGTCTCTTGCCCCTTGCCACCTGGGGCTGGGATGCTCTTAATTTCAGTAAGAAATGAAGAGTCTCCCATCAGGTTTTGGATTCTAGGCCCACACAAAATGGGCCTAGAGAAGAAAACAGAAGAGTGTGTTGCTCTGTGTCCACACCCTTCATCCTAGCGGGCCCAGCCAGTGCTGCCTCAAATTTGACATTTGATTGATGGACTGAGCGGGACAGAGGCAGTGGTGTTGTCGCTGAGTCACTGTTTCCTATAAATATGACAAGATCTATGTACTACAGTGATCAGAGGTCCATCACCAGGGAACTGGGAATGTGAGAGACTGCCCTGACCTGGGCTGCTGCTGCTGGTCACTGAGCAGTGAGCACAGGAGGTAAGGCAGGAAAATGTTTTTAGTTGCTATTTTTTTCACTGTGAACGTGAAATATATGTATATATACAACTATATATATATATACACACATATATAGTTAAAAATCTTCCCATTGCTAACAGTAATTCGTACAACTTTCCCCTAGTTGTGAGCCCCCTCTCCTGACTCCACCCAGTTCCCATAACCCCTAATCCCAGCCTTCTCAAAAAAAAAAAAAAAAGGGAGGAGGAAGAGAGGAGGAGCAGAAGGAGAAAGGGAAGGAGGAGGAGGAGGAAGAAGAAGACTGCTTTTGGTGTTTGCTTTAACCTGATGTCCTCATTATAATTCAGAAGGAAAGGCCTGCTCATCTAATTTCCTAGGGCCTCAGGCCAGAGACAGCCATACTTACAGGTAAATTGCTACTAGGCTGGCGTGTGTTGCTTCTCCTTAAAATTCAGATGCCATTTACTCTCATCTTCTGTTTCTTTTATGTTTTTCCTTGTTTGCCTATTTTTCTTTTTTCTGACTTATTTCATTTATATTTTGTGTTGCCTGTTTTTCCTGGATCCACTTAGCATCTAAATCTTTGGTTTATTTTTCTTATCAGAAAGCTTTTCCTAAGTTGTGTCCAGAGTTAATGGATTTTCTTTGTTGATTCTTGACAGTTTTCCCT